GATTTTATATAGTTTTGTAGAAAAGGTCAGAGAGAGAGATTGATCGTATTGCCTTGCCCTGAGTAGGATTCTCTTAACCCCACCTCCACCCATACGGCACAGGATCCCCCTTTCAGCTGGCAAAGAAAGATTATTATTATTATTATTATTACTACTACTACTACTACTACTATAGACTGCTTTTTTCTTTCAAAGACACTCAAAGTGGTGAAATCAAACACAGAGCAAAAATGGGAACTCCAACATTGCCCTGGAGTGGGGTTCTTTCGGCAGCTTTCTCCACCTACCCACCCTATACCCCTCGACCACTGCAGACGTAGAAAGAAGTCCTGACTACACCTATCCTTTTCTTGTAGTGGTGACTACTGGGTGGATCATGGCTAGTGGCCATCCCTCATCAGCTGGTGCATCAGAAGAGAGTGGGAGAGGAGAGGGAGAAAGAAGGAACTGCCCCTTCCATTCCCTCCTGATCACCCTGGTGTCCCAGTTGACATTATTCCAGCCGCAAGCAACAGACATTAGCCATTTTGCACCCATTGGCCACTACAATGATGAGAATGGGGGGGGGGCAGCAATTGCCATCCCTTGTCCCCAAACAGGATGTCCATGTGAACAGTTTTATATTGGAACCAGCCCAACTGTTTATATGGACCAAAGTCATGGTTTACTCCAAAATATGTTGTGCATTTATTTTATGGTTAATATTTTTAATTAGATGCTTCTGGGGGTACCAAAACCTTTGAAATACTTAGCGCCTATAAAGATCTTTATCTGGCCCTGATTGTTCACATCCAATAAGGACGGCAAAAGAGACAGGTTTGCCTGGAAGTTACATGTGTTAATTTATCAATAAACGCATTTAGAAACAAGAACTGTCGCTGAAAGAGAAGCATAGGCAGAATGTTCCTTATTTGGAATTCCAAAATTGGTCATATCCAATAAGGAGGCAAAAAAAGATAGATATTTGCCTGAAATGTACATATGTTACTTCAGAGATGAAGGCACACATTTAGAAACAAAGTCCACCAAAAACATGGATATACAGAAGGAACATCTTTATCGCAAATCATCCAGAAATTGTCCACATAGGTGAATGAGACAGTGACACCTTTGCTTTCTGGTGGCTCAGTGTGCACAAACTTTGTTTCATGCACAAATCATTAAAAATATTGTACACGATTAAGGCTTTGTGTCTAAGCTGCATTTGAAAGATAAATGAATTTTGTGTTGACTTGGGTCTCATCTCCAAACTCTGAAATAATCCAAAATCCCAAACACTTCTGGTTCCAAGTACTTCAGAAAAGGGATACACAGGGCCCTTCTACACTGCCATATAATCCAGAATATCAAGGTAGATAACCCTCATTATCTGCTTTGAACTGGATTATCTGAGTCTACACTGCCATATATTCTACTTCAAAGAAGCTAATCTGGATTTTGTACAGCAGTGTGGAAGGCGCCTCAGTCTGTACCATATTTGCCTAAATGTGCATAATGAGGTATCTTGAACAGTGAGACCCAAGACT